TAGTGATGTCGACGGTGGAAGCAGCCAATTGTGTTTTGAAAAGGCCCACCAACAAGAAAAAACAATACGACTTTTAGTGTACGGTTTAATTACCATAATTAGAACATTTTCACCACTCTACTCAGCTCTCAGACATCATTTTCTGACAGGGAAATGAAGCTGTTAGCCATGCTCTCATCAAACCCACCAGACACCATTGACAAAAACAGTCAAGTAACCTCTCTGAACACGATAGTTGCTGGTTTACTAACACCTGACCGGTAAGTTTGTGGCTGTTATTGTTGGACTTGGTTTGGATTCACAAACGTATCTTCTTCACTCTGCCTACTATAAGGTATACATAGATTAGGATACAACCCCATTTCAATCAATCCAAACTATTCTTTTAAAGGGTTCCTACTATATTACCATGTCTTCAGTCGCAGTTTTAAAGAGGGGCTCTGTTTCAAAATGTAATTTAATGACTTTAGGTTTAAACTATGATTAAATCAAAATATCCTAAAGTTAGGACCATGTTATAATTCAGAAATAATGTCCAAACTGCACACAGAGTTGGAGGATTGAGGGAAATATAGTAATATACAGTATACAGTACACACAGTAATATATTGTACAGTACACGCTGTCCTTGGTACTCTGAGTCTGAACTGTATGACAGCCAGGGTACACAAACAGCCAATCACCTGATTGTTACAAGGTAAATCCCTGCTGGCGTCTGATTGGATGAGATTAAAGGGTGAAACGGGGGCGGGGGCTAAGTGTTCGTGGAGGGATAAAGCTTGATATCCAGGTGATATCTCCACGGCAACCAGGGCCCGGTATGTACGTAAACACAAGTACAATGGGGACATCAATGGAGGGAGGCTTTATGCAAACACACACACACACACACACACACACACACACACACACACACACACACACACACACACACACACACACACACACACACACACACACACACACACACACACACACACACACACACACACACACACACACACACACACACACACACACACACACACACACACACACACACACACACACACACACACACACACACACACACACACACACACACACACACACACACACACACACACAGCCTCTTGAGATGGAAGCCAGAGGTTGAAGTGTTGACTACATTATGCACCTGCCTCACCCTCTCTCTCCCTTCTTTTCATTATTTCCCGGCAGTTTTGAGTATGTACAATGAAGTGTCACATTCTGAGGAAGTAATAAAAAAAACAAATAATACAGTACGTCATGCGATACAGGAGAAATTAGAGACGGGAAGTTGTGCAGACCTGGCAGTAAACTGCAGTCAAAAGGCAGAGATATGGTTTAATTGCTGCAGTCTGTATAGTAAGCATAGACAGTGAGGATCTAATAGCATTGCTAATGTGTTGTTGTGTGTTTTCATGCGCTGGTGTAAGCACACACTTGGCTCCACACATCTCACCACTTCCTCTTGAATCACAGCGAGGGAGGAGGGTGATAAACCCACGGAGATCTATGTCAAAGCAAACAAGATTAGACCGAACCTCATCACAGGCCATATGGTCAAAGCCTTTGGAGAAGGAAGGGAGGGGACAACCGATTTAAAGGTGTGCACTATGTGTGTTTAATGAGAGTGTGTGCTAATCAGGTATGAGATGAAACACATCTCTTCAAGCATTAACCTACATTACAGTGCCAGCTCATTAGCAGAGTTACGTGAAAAAAAGTGAGAGTGATGTGTGACCTTATCAATTGGAGTATGGAGCCACATGTTATGAAATGGTTAAATAATAAATGCAGAACAGGCTTCTGCTATACCCGACAGCAAATTCGTTTCAGATTATAGTGAAAGGTCGCTGAATGTTCAAAAGATATTTTTTCTTCAAGATAAAGCTAAAAATAAAGATAAAGCTGTGTGTGTGTGTTTCTGTGTGTGTGTGTGTGTGTGTGTGTGTGTGTGTGTGTGTGTGTGTGTGGCTATTTTCTCCACTAACTCCTAATCTCATCTGCATTTGGACCAGTCTGCTGCACTTTAAGGTCAAGCCAATCAAAGAAGCGATGCACAGGCATGCCGTATAAACGCCATTTGATTATTTGAATACATCAATGGCAACAATCAAACCTAAAGATTTTAAATGTCTGTTTTTTTTACATGTCCCTGATTTGGTCCAGAAAGGTCCACCACTGCACAAAATCAGAAATAATGCCTCATAATCTGTGTTCCTCTGCTTTTGTCGATGTTTTAGAGCAGTCACATTTTTACATAAGCTGCAAGAGTCTGATCACAGAGTGCTTTTTTAAAATTGACTTCTGAACAGTCACAAGTCTCTTCGCCTGAAGTCTTACAGCTCCTGAAATCCTATTTATATCAAATTAAAAAGACCATCCACATGCCATATACTCTGGAACAAAACCTCGTTTTGTAAAACCAAGCATTCACTGTGTCCTGCTGACGAAAGCAGTTTAAACCCAACCAAGACCTTGATATCACATGTCAACTCAAAATATAACTGTAAAAATAGCCACTAGATATGTGCAAGTGTGTGGAAGCAAGGTTTAGATAAAACATGGAGAATCAATCTTTAAAAAGCGTATATGTAAGATTAAGAAGGTATTGCTTTTACAATTGTCACAGATGAATTAAAGGGGACCTATCATGCAAAATGCACTTTTGTACGTCTTTCATACATGAATATGTGTCCCCGGTGTTCCAGGGAACTCACCAAGTGTCAGAAAACACAACCCTCTCTATTTTCCTCCATACCCAAATCTCTAAAAAAGGGGCTGCAACGGATCTGATAAAAACTGATCCAGATTTGAACACTGTCCTGACGTCAGGACGGTGGCACTACGGCTATTGGGCCAACTCCACCAATCAGGAGGAGACAGCCACGGCCATTGCCGTTCGAAAGCGCTGGAGACGCTCTAGTATATATGCCAGGCCTGTAGATGGTGCTGTTCTCACAGAATCAGCCCTTGCAAAAACAGAGCTAACATTTTTCAAATTGAGCGAAATGAGGCATGGCTAAAATGCATGATCTGTTTGGTATTTTGAAAAAAAAAAAGTATAAATATGCCTTATATAGGTATGGTCCTACACTATATTATTCAAATATAGCATGATAGGTCCACTTTAAGTTATTGACTCACTGCAAAATACGTTGTAGGCTAAGGCAGTAAATTGTGCCAGTGGAATTATGTTGTTCTAGTTTACGTAAGAAAGGAAGTCCAGAGAGAAAACCACCTGATGTGATTTTTTAATAAAACATTTGTGCTGCGAGCATCATCACCTTGGATAATTTCCTAAAAGACAAACAGACTTAGTATTGGGAAGGAAAAGGGAGGCAGACAAAGATAAAGAGATATAAACAAAGATGCAGAACAAACACACAGGTAGTCATGGCCCAATAACAATCACAATCTGAGTTAGCACCGAGGCTAAGGTCAGCTAAGTTACTGGATGTCAAAAGGTCTGTCCGTCTGTCCTTATGTGCACCAAACATAAGAAATGTTTCCCCCTAGGAGCAGCCATGCATGGTACACAAAACAGCTACTATAACTTATTGATTTTTCCTCTGAGGGTGCTTTGTACACATCAGATTTCTCTGCGGTTGTTTGCCTGTCCATTTGTCTGTTTGTCTATCTCTGTCTGTGAAGCAAACAAGCTCAGATCCAAACCTGAATGCGGCACTACAGAATACAACATAATCCTTGTAGAATACGGAAAGCAGCTTACTCATATAATACATAACATTTTCATGAGCAATCCCAAGGGTGTCCCCGGTGTGACAGCCTGCGGTGATTTACGTACATTAAGGGCCTTCACTCGAGAATTTATGACTGAGGCGGGAGCAGTTTCAGTCGTGTGGAAATGGAAACGTGACATGTAGCTTCCCTGTTCAATCATCTCTCTGACATGGTATGGACAGGTCAGTCTTATCAATCTAAACAGCAGCAGCATAACTGAGTTGCATCAAAACCAGCTTGGAATACTGCATGGTACATCGAAAGGTTTTCTTTAAAAGTTTTGACATAAGTTGTTTACGTACACCTGAGTGTAGTTTTGTGTGCATTTATCTGCCAATGTATGGACCTCTAGTGGCATTTTGCATTCACAGATATCATCAATTCATAACAACTTATTGACAGTTTATCCTAAAACAAAATGAAGGCAAGTTGTGTGGGACTCAGTCTCAAACACTCAGAGCATCTGTGACCAAAACATCAGTGTTTATTGACCAGCATGGCCAAACAGGTTCATCAATCAAACAGCTAATGACATGGTTCAAGCTACAAACAGACACACAATGGTTGTGATGGAGTTAAAAAACGATATACTAATCCTATAATACATTTTAGAATGATTCATAGAAGGATACCAACAATCCCCCAAAAAGTAAAACATGAAAAGACAATATGAAGCACTGTAACACTAATTGCTCAAATTACTTTACAATAACATTATAATAATAAGTGAGGATGACACGCTTATAATCCCTCCACATTAATATTGTCCCTGTGCCCTGTCTGCCCTCAGATGGCAGGAACAGTCTGTTCAGGGTGACTCAAAGTCAGTACTGATGTCTCTATCTGTGTTTCCATCCCTTCTACCCCTGTGGTTTCCATACTGGAGTTCAGGGAGCCTCAGGTGTTTTGCAGAGGTCCCATTAGTTAGACTGATTTTTACACATGATCTCATTTACTCGTTCCTTCCTGTATTAAAGTTCCTTAATTATCATCATTAACAAAAACCTTATTATATGAAAGGTATTCCACATTAAATATGCATATATAATAACGACTTGGTGATAGTAGATACACTTTGAGCTCCAGCCTTGTGAGGATGTGCTGCCGTGTCTTGCAGCATAGTACAAGTTAATTGGTCGAGGAAGGATGAATGCACCGCCGCATTTTCTAGCGTAGTAAAGGAGCAAGAGGGTCGATCTATGCCCTGGCTATTTACCAGCATGGACTGGGAAACATCGGCAATCACTTACCTTTTGATTCGCAGTCAGCGCAGAATTTATTATCTTCCAGCGCCAGTAAAGAGTTGAGGACAACCTGGTATCTGTCAACGTCTTTCACAGATCTGCCCGTCATCATTGCACTGGTCCTCCTCCTCCACAGCCCCTGCGGTCCGAGCCGGCTTTTGTCAAATAGCTTCTTATTTGATCAATTAAAGCAGTGTGTGTAAGAGCCGATGCACTCCCTTCCTCCTACTCCTCCGCCTCCTCCTCTTCCCCGGAAAGCAGGGCGAGTTTGTTTCACAAGATTGGATGATTGTCTCTCAGCCAACCGGCATGCGGGTTATGCAAATTGGCTACTAATACCGATCAATACGTAACCTGGAGAAAACAACTTCTGATTGCCAAGCTGTAAAATGTAATGCAAGGTCGACTTTAAACCGCATCTGTAACCCAACACTGACACTGACTCTCTTCCAGCTCACAGACCGTCCTCTCTCGCTCTCTCGCAACTCTCTCTCTCTCTTTCTCTCACACACACACACACACACGCACGCACGCACGCACGCACGCACGCACGCACACACACACACACACACACACACACACACACACACACACACACACACACACACACACACACACACACACACACACACACACGAAAATACCAGGTCGTTTGGTTTATCTTACTGTCAATATGTTACATATACTGCCATCCTGTGGTCAATTATAAGAATAGTTTTAAAAGTAGAGTGCCTCTTTCCCCCTCCAAGACGCAGGGCGGCGATGAACACCCTGCAAACAGCCGAGGAAAGGTTTGGTGAGACAGCTGACATAAAAACTAAGTTTGTAAAACTACCAAAGCATTACCGGAAGTACATTCATTGAGACTTCAAAATAAAGTTAGCAATGTGACAAAGGAAGCAAAATAAGTGACCTTTATAGCTATATGTAAGGACATTGGAACACAAACTGTCGTTTGTATTGAATGGAATTCGTTTCCCCCTTCGTATCCGTGCTTTGTATTACTCATGATATCCAAATAAATCCTTTAGTCTGAACTACAACCGGAAGTTGTGGATTAATCCAGCTAGCTGGATACTACTGGTTTTGCGTCTACTCTGGTGATTACGGAAATAACTGCTACGCCAGAATCAAATAAATAAAGGATTACATTCGAGTCGCTATCTGTGTAAGCCTGTATCACTGTCCACAATGTCCAGGCAATCCAACCGAACAACAGACAGCAAGAAGATGGTAGGCGACTCCCGCAGATTCAACGTCAACCAAACCTAGCTAACCTAGCAAGCAAAATGCTAACCGTAGGCTTGTAGCTAACACACCAACTGTCCATTCTCTGCAAACTCTGCGAACAAAATAACCATGTCAGTCATGTGTATTTGTTTGACAGATGTTTCTATATATTTAAACATCTGAAACTGGTGAATAAGTACTTCATTCATTGTTAAGTACTGCTAACTTTGACAGGAAGTGTTACGTTAGTTCGTTGTAGCACGAGCTAAATAGTCTCCTAAAGTTAGCTTTTCATGCTCCCTTTGCAGCCATTGTACTATTTACGATAACTTTCCAAATGAAAAAACGTATACCTTTTTAACAAAACCTTATATATATTTCTGTTTTCATGTTCAGCTCAGTCAATTCAGTTTTATTTGCACTGTTAAAAGGGTTGACATTAACGTCTTATAGCTGCAGTGAAGACTCAAGTCTTATGTGTGAAGTCTAGATATATGTATACGTCATGTCTATTATTCAAAGTGTACAATTATTATTAATTAATCAATTGTTTTATTATGCAATCACACGTCATTTCAGCACCAGACGCTTTCCCCAGTATGATCTGTTACAGACATTATGGTGCAGAAAGTAGCCCTGTATTTGAATGCATCTGTACTACACATAGAGGAATTTAATTATAATTGACTAGTATGCTTCCTGCTTGTTTAGCTTTAGCTGTGTCATGATCTAAAAATAGAATCAAATAGAGAGGTATTTACACATTTTTTTTACCTCATTTGATCATTATCTGTTCACATCACCGTAAATATAGATCTATGTGTAGTTCTCCCCATTTAACAAGGAGGAAACCTGTTTTGCCAGACTCTATCAGTTAACTTTTATGCCCCTATTCCAGTCTGATTCATTTGATTTTAGCAGCAGGAATAACATGAACCTTTTTAATTTCCTGTTGTAGAACTCTGAGCTGTTCACCCTGACCTACGGGGCCCTGGTCACCCAGCTCTGTAAAGACTACGAGAACGACGAGGAAGTCAATAAACAACTGGACAAGATGTGAGTACCAACATTGCCTGTAATTTACCTGTATTTGGATTCATGTAATTTGATAGCGAGAATGCAATTTCACATTGTTTCAATTCAGAACATGAAACTGATGTGCATTATAAAAAATACTCAGACAACACACTTCCACGGTTACCACATTTAATTTGACATTTCACAAAATGCGTACTGCTATTTTTGGCTTTCAGCAAGCAATACACCTTTGTAGTAAAAAAGTGTACATCTCTGTCATTATTGTGACTTCTGTTGGTAATGTGTTCCAGTGTTTTAAGCCTTTTTAATGGTAAATTAGGGTTGATGATATGTTTTTTGTTCATTAGTTAACGATGTAACTTGTGCAAACAAATCATTATATTTTCTCATCCCAAATTGTTTTATTAAGTGCATTTGTCCTTACTTTATTTAATATATTTTGTTGTCTCACCATTTTATATTTCATACATAATTTTAAGCATAAAGGTGTAATTCAGGTTTCACATTACAATACATATCACATACCAACTTCAAAATACTAAAGCATACCAATACCAAAGACAGTGACACATACAGAACAGGGTTAGACATTAAGGCGCCGTTTACACGAGGAGAAAACTGCTTGTATCTGCATAGTTTCGCGTGCGTATAGCCCTATTATTTACACGAGGCCGATAGAAACTGACCCCACAAACGATAACGGGTCCCAAGGTGGATAGATTTGCAAACGAAACGCTCTGGGGGGTCAACCGAGTCCGTGTAATCACCTCTATACGAATATTTCCTGAAAAAATAGCGATAGCCCCACCTCTCCCCACCTCTCCTGCTCACTGCTGTAGCAACTATCAAAAATAGCTGTGTTAATTAAACGCACAAGGGGTTCTTGAATGAAATAATATTATAAAAGGCAAACCAGAATTGTTAACGCCCAATATACTCCTTAAACAAAATAAACAGAGTCAGATTTCATGCATTGATCCATTATATTGACAAAGGTGCGATCTCACCCGGTGTTTGTAGAGAATATCTCTCTTTCTGAGCCGTCCTCTCCACAGAGACGTGCTTCTTGGTCGGTCGATGCAATATCCACAGATTCGGTTTCTTTCAGTTAACTTCCCCGTTGCATTTATCCATATGCTGAGGAAATGACTATATCCCGCTGAATACCAGCAATCGCCACACACTTCCTCCTGTCAGTAGCTACTGCTAGTGCTACTGCTACTGACCATGCTACAGATATTAGTGCAAAATCTACAGCTCCTCTACCACAACCATCAGCAACAAGTGGACATGGAGAATTACATGAACTACATGTTGCTAAATACACCGCAGGGCTTAAACAGAAGGGTAGCCATGGCAACATTGTGGCGGGGCTGCTCGGGCTGCTCTTCTTCGCGGCTTTTGGTGTATTTTGGCGGAAGTTACAGCGCCACTTACAGTCCCGGAATATGTACTACAGCGTTTCCAGCGGCCTCGTTTGAACAGACACGTTAAATGAAACGAATGCATGTGAACGGAAGACTTTTTTGAATACGCATACTGTGCATAAACGCAAACGGTCCCGTGTGAGCGGGGCCTAAGGGAGGGCCAGTGGAATTGTATTATCACTGGCCCCACCATTGTAACCACTGGCCCAAGAGCATTCGTCCAAAATATCGACTAATAATTAAGAAAATTAACACATTTGTTGCAATAGTAATTTATGCACAAACTACATTACTAATTGTACTACAACATTTGAATCATCAGTTCTTCCTCATTTTCCTCAATTGTTCATATTTGGTTTATTAAAATAATTATATTGTGGTCATTGTTAAAAAATGTCTGCTATTATCATTATTATGAGTATATTATTATTTGTATAATGCGCTTTCTTCCTTCCTGTCATTAGGAGTTAGGCATGTAATGGCTATGTAATAGATTAGATTAGAACCTTCATTATCCTAAACTGCTGAGACATTTCCCTATAGCCAATACCTTTATATGTTCTACTCTTCACTTACTTGTCAGCATAGGTCGGCATTTATGTACAGAGCCGACAAAAGACCTTGTTTATATTGGCATCATATTGAAGCCAACTCCATCGATCAAGCCAGTGTGGCTGAAACTTTCTCTCCCTCTTCTTCTCATACTCCCTGTCACTCTCCTTTAACTCTTCCGGTGACATTCTTTTATTTGAAGATTGTTTTTTGCCCGGCGCTTGGCCGGTTACCGCTGGTACGTGAGTACGTTATGCTGGCCCGGGGTGTCTAAATAGTGCTTCCGGGCCAGCGGGCCATTTATAATGTTGAGCCCTGCAGAACTAGTGTATGTTAACTATTTCAAGATATAACCTTTCCTCTGGAGTACATAAACGGAGTTAATTTATTTCAACATGTAAAGGTTTATCGTTTGCTTGTTAAACCAACAGAAGGGAAGGGATTTTTCTGGCCTCTTGGATCTCTCCCTTTAAGTTGCACCTTAACACTGCTCTGACTAATTCTGCTGCCCTCTATTCATCACACACACACACACGCACGCACGCACGCACGCACGCACGCACGCACACGCACACACACGAGATGACATAATCCGGTTTTGCATCATATGTGTTTTTTATGAGAGAACTAAATATCTGGAAGGCAATGTTGCATACTGTCATCCTGCAAAATAAGATGAATGAAAATGGATGGGTTCTATAACTCAGATATTCAAAACAGTCTGTCAAGCTGACAGGACTTTGGACTTGATGTACTTTTCTTTTTGGTTGTGCGTCTATCCTAAGCTCTCCCCAAGCTAAGACATGATGAGGATTGTCTTACCTGTCCTTAGAAGGCAGTGAGTCTGCACGGCCCACTCTGCCAACCGGTCAGATTCAGACCTTTTTAGGATCGGGATGCATCAGTTGTCTCCAGATTCTGTATTATGTTAAGTTGACTTGACCTTCTATTACCACAGTTATCATCATTTGCCAAGCATATGACTCTAAAATGTTTGGAGCATTTCGAAATGTCTAATATCTCTTTACTATAATCTCCTCAGTAATTTTCTTCTACTATGAAAAGGAAAAATGACTTCATCTGTTTCTTTTGCTAATCTCTCTCTGTCTTCATAGGGGTTATAACATCGGAGTGCGTCTGATCGAGGACTTCCTGTCGCGCTCAAGCATTGGCAGGTGTCAGGATTTCCGAGAAACCGCTGATGTCATCGCTAAGGTAATTCAAA